CTATGATTATCTAAAAGAACAGGAATTGTAAATTCTCTGCCTTCTTTCTTAAATGTATTATAACATAAAGGTTTTTAGTTTAATGGTTTTGCATTCTTCCTTTCACCCTCATTCACACTCCATTCACACTCTCACTCATACCTTACAGACTACTTAAATCTTGATGGGAGTTCAAAGGTCTCCCACCTTTTTAACCTTTTCAAATTGGTTATGAAGACATAAAGAGGACAATATATATTTGAATCTCAAGTTTTTAACAGTATACCTAAGTGTGAAATTAGTCCTTGCACGTCATTAGAATGACTTATCATTACACCAAAAATTCTATGATTTTGACTCAATTTAAATGAGGTCCTCACAAACCTGCCGTGATAGCGAAGAGAGCAGTAAGTATATTCTGGGTCGAATCTCGAGACCATTGGCGTGGCGTGCTTTGCGATATATCTATCGATCTGCCATTTAAACCTACGGAAAATGATCGATAAAGAGGGTATTCGCAACGTGCACCTTAATAATCGATTCTTCACCATAGCTTTAAATGGGAAAATATCGATAATCGATCATTCACGCCCCGCCACTGCTCGAGACACTTAAAGCATGTGCTGATCATGGCTCATACAGAAATGTACTTACTGCTCTCTTCACTATCACGACAGAAGCGTAGTCCCTACTTTGAAATATCCAAAAATGTAAGCATGTTTAATAAAGTTCTTAATTTAAGTTTTACACTATGACGTATTTCAAATTTTGAAAATTATTGCTTTTATTTTAACTTAAAATTTTGATAAATTTAAAAGTTTATGGGGCATTTCTAAAAAAAGGAGCTATTTGAAGGACCCACCGTGCATATCGACACCATATCGAAAGTGAGCTAGTGAAAATGAGTATTTCGGTTTCCGAAGTCGCAGCCTTCCAGTTATAGTTGATTTTTCGAATGGAAAAATACCCAACGCCAATTCTTGAAGACTTTCCTGTTATATTTTCTCTTTGTGGAGAATATGCTGTGAAAATTTGAAGGAGTATAGTGTCGGTCCATCCGTCTGAAAATAGGGGATCAAAGATTTTAAAGCACCCCAAACAAGGAGTGCGTTCGACATGCCAATCGGCCTGACTTCAGCTGAAAGTAATCTAGTCATTTTTTTAAAGTTAGAAACACCAAATTATGAGTGATTTTGAGCTTAATTAATAAATTTCTACCCGCTGTTAAAAAATAACTGATCTCATTAAAAAGGATTCAAAATAAATAATCTTAAACATGGGCTGAAAGCTCTATTTTCTCCCAATTAGTTTTATTTTTCATTTTTTAGTCTCATGGAGGAGAAAACTCCTAACATCGAGAAGTGGCGAAAAATTGTGATTTCAAGATCTACTACTGAAACCCCTTGCAAACTGAGCGTAAGTGGAGGCTCGTGAATTCAAAGCATTTTTGCTTAATTAACTTTCCAATCATAGCTCTATATTCCATCAGTAAGTAATTAAAAATTTGTTTGAAGACATAGTCACAAAGTTATACCTATGTATAAACAAACAACTGGCCCATAAAAATTCGTCCCTACTGGATTTAATATGATACTCAAAGAACTAGTATCAATCAGAATCAGATCGAGCAGGATCTGTGCCATCGCTGCGTCCTGACCCGCGAGTTCTAGTGTATGTTTCGCCTTCATTTTTGTGGCAGCAACCCAACGTACTCCAACGCAGCAGAAGCGACCAGTTTCACACTCGTAGCGCCCTCTGCCGATTTCTCGTGTAATCCCTACGGCAAGAGAGAGAAAGAGTGAAGCGCTGAGCTATGCATGTGAGAGAGAAGGATATAGTGCCAAGCCTTGACCAAGTTTCGTAACGTTCCGTCTATCTCTCTCTTCCTGATTATTTCACAGCGAATCCCAGGGTGTCTATCCTTCTCTTATCGCCTTTGTTGACTGTTCGCGCGTCGAAAGCCTGAAAATGTAGAAAGCAGATATTAGTTTTAAGTTTTAAAATTTCCTGAGCTTTCGTGTGATTTTATACGGTTTTGTGGTGCTTTCTATTGTTCGTGATATTTTGTTTTATACAAGCTCACCCCTTTCCCGGCGCCTTTATGCACCAGTTCCCTGGGGTAGCTTCCACCTGTGACCCTCTTGTGTACCCTTCCTTTATCCACTGGGTTCTCTCTGAAAGTATCTGCTTTCTCGCGAGTTTTTCGGTTTCTACAGTGCTCAATTCGGTTTAGTGTGTGTTATGCAACCGTGAATACCTTTGTGTTTCAAATCGGCCAACAATGGAATAACTTCACCCCCCTGTAAGTACTTAACTCATTGAGAGTCTTATTACACTTGAACTTTAGGCTTACGATGCAGAGTTTTTCTTCAAATACTATTCAATATCCGGTTGAACATACTTACATACGAGTATCTCCATGTAAAATAGTCGATTTTATGCTCCCTGTCTTTATACGTCTCTACGAACAAGTATAAACACAGTCATAACCTCAATTGCATCTAGCTACGTAGCGGAATGCATCTTGCTCTCTTAAGTTCCGCACTGTTGTTCCTCTTTTAGTATGAGAGTTTTCAGTGATCTCCTGAAGTTGTAATGAGATTTATTTGAGGTTAAAACATGGACCACAGGGCTCAAAAGCTCTGCTTCCTTTGAGCATGTCCCTGGTGCATGCCCAGTTGGGTGCACACTTCAGGACATGCTCAAGTTCAGAGCTCTCTGTGAGCCTGCTCATTCCAATCTCTATTTTTCCCTCGTTTTCAAGATGTAAACTTAGGGTATGCGTTGTTTTATCTGAAAGTAAATACCATTTGTTGACAAGATTTCTCTTGTATCAGAAAAATCACTTGCGAATATCAAGACTCTTGTGGTCAGACATTCTCATTAATATCAGCAATGTAGAGCTTGTGTATCGTATGTTGAGACAAATGTCACAGTATTGTTTATGTCACCATTCACCAGAGGTGCCACCTGACTGCATGTATTAACCTGCTGAGTGGTGCGAATTCAGAGCTAACCGGAGATTGACGTTTGTCTCAACATACGATGCGTGAGCTCTATGTGCTGAGAGTTGCAGCTACAGTTGTATGGCAGATTCAAATCCTGTCTGGGTAGCTACAGGTGTTCAAATAATGGCATCCTGAGAGCTTAATTATAGGCTGTTGACGGAAGAGAAAAGTTAATTCTCAACCAAGTTCAGCACCTACTCACAGTAAATGTGTTGTGGTCAAAATCTGTGTTCAATCGACATCTCATTTAAACCTCGAAGGAAGAGGAAATATCCATAAACAGTACTTATTTGAAACACATACCGGCCACACAGCAATTTGCCGGTAAGAAATTGCCTTTGGCCACTAAGACATGAAACTAGCGGCTAAGCCATAGCCGCCAAGAAAATTGTTGTTAAACTCCGTTTTTGGGATTTTTTGGCGCATTCTACAAGGTGCCACGTCGTGTCCTGTTATCACTTTAATTTTCATTTTCATTTTGGCCCTGAAGAAAAAAAGTTGCAGGCCAGATGGCCGCTAAGACTTCATGCCAAGTTTCAAACACTGTCAATAAATATTTCTATTAGTAGCTTTCCTTATACTCAATCAATAATGCAGGGTCTTTTTAGTCAGCACAGAGGCGCATAGTTTGTTTTTTTTACAAGTCTTAATTAGTTAATTAGTTAGTTGATCATTAACATGTTGTTAAAATCCACACTTCAAGGTAGCAAAGTGACAATAGTCCACTCCAATTTGTTATTGGCCTTGTAGATACTCACTGACGAAGTTAGTCAGGGCCTGCTAGACCCAAGATTTCACTCATTGGTCGACCAGAACTCAGGAAAGAAAAGAACAGACCAAAGTCATATCAGTCTGAATGTATCAATCACCAGTAGGCCCATTGGTGTGCATGTAAATATCTGTTAAATGGTGCCATCTTTAGATGTGACAATTGTCGATTCTTTTCTTTCCCCAGTTTTAATTTCTTTACCAAGACAGCAAGTAATAGTATGATTCCATCGAAGCTCATTAACGCTTTAACTAAGCCGGGTTGACATTTAGGAACTAAGTGCCGTAAGGGATGTCCTATGAGTTTTTGCACAGCTCTGAATTGGTTATGTCAATAAGACATTAGTTCAGAAGATCCTTACTTATAGCTATCTGAGTTATCGGAGCTGCAGAAAATGGGGTGTTGCTTTGTTCATCAGCTGAATGGGTCAAGCAACTTGATAGACAGGTGTACTACGCAACTATATTTTTATTGAATGCTCAGAGTTCCATTAGAGCTGGTTGTTTACAGCAGCAGCAGCATTATCAAAGTGCAATGGTATTTTAGAACCAGGCGCACTGATTCTATAACACCAAGGATTTGTTTGAACACCCCTCAACATTGCCCAATACTTAACTTTAACAATGCATCTCTTATTACACTGTAAATCTCTTGAGTGCAGCTTTTTTGTAGAACCAAGGCTTTAATTAAATAATATGATGTTCCTCACGACCTCCCAAACACAATGAGCGTTTAAGTCAAATCAAACTTTCTTTGTGCCAATCTTGAGAGAAGCGGGCCCCTAAGTGAATTTGTCTGCATTTTAAACATATTATTCAGGAATGTTGCAGCAATCAGTACAGGAGAACTTCTATATCAATGTTGGCTGAGAAGATGAGCAGAGTGTCTACTACCTGTAAAATCCAAAAATTTCAGGAGAATTGGTCACAGGTCAAAAAATACTGAGTGCATTTTTCAAACATTCGATTCAGTTCATTAAGTATCTTGAATTGTTAAATCAAACGAGTGTCCATCTATTCGCGCCAAAGTCAGGAAATTTCTTAAAAATTATGAGGAATATCCATATTGAAATTTCAGTAGACACCCTGATAAGACAGACAAAATATATCTAATTCCTCCAAATGTTAATAGCCCGCAGCATAGCATCCATACATACATAGCAACAGTCCCACATTTCCACCAAGAAACGCATATAGGAAGGCCAAAAATTAACTTTTCGACTCTGCTTTTTTGAAGATGGGCACAGACAGTTCAGTTTTATAAGATCATCGTTCTTTGCAGGTGTTGGAGGTTTTCAGAAAATTAAAATGAAAGTTTTGAATAATTTTATTACCATTCCTACTTACTCCTTTCTTATATAAAAAGAAATGTGAAAACTCATTTTTCTGAGCTTTTGGGGGAGCATTAGGCTGTGGGGCCATTTTCATTTTTCTGACCCCTCCGACTCTTCTCAAGGATTCTTGCCATCCATTAAGGGAATCAGATTTTTGACCCCCCCCCCCCCCCTCCCCCCACCCGTTGGGATACCCGCCTGGTACCTCCAATTTAATTTTCGGTGCATGATGAAAAAAGCTTTATTTAACTTTTCTAGGTTTTAGAGGTATCTCTCCTTTTTGGCTCGGTGGAAAAGAGTGGAGAGCCAAAAAATACTTCCATTTTAATTCCAATTTAATCTAATTTTATCCATAATTCAGTGGCAAAATGGCGTGAGAAGGGATGGAAAATCTTGGGGCCACACCGCCACAGGTACGAGAGGTCGAGGTTTTTGTAGAAAAACTTTTACCATCCATACCACAAGTTTGTTTCATATTGACCAACAAAATACTCCAGAAGTAGTGATCTATTTGTCCTAGATTTTCATTGTTTGCAGCAGAGAAGACACCTCTCTCACGAGTATAGAACTTATATTTATGTTTACTTTTTTCTCCCTCACTAAAATCGAGACTGAGCAGTGAGTATCCACCAGTTTGATCGAGTGAAAAAAGTTCTGACCTCAGACAACCTCTGAACTGCTTATAATGGAGGCCTCGCAGTTTTTGTAACAATTGCCACGTCCTAATTCCAAATTTACTCCATAGTATTAAATAATTAGAGTAACGAGTCGCGTACAACGCCTGAAAAGCAAAGCACTACGGGGACTTGGACTACGGAGATTCTCTTCCTGAGTTCCTGCTTTCGACTTGGTTTGATACTGTGCTTCTGATATTGCATAACCGCTTAGTTGAAGGCGTTTCTTGGACCCTAGCGATTAGTTTCACGGCTTCTCTTGCCAGAACTGGCTTGGATTTCGTTCCGAGAAGGTTGTGATCCTGACGGACTAAAGCTTTGTTTTCTCAACTACTCTCTCCGTTTCTTTTTACAATTGTTTTCTCCAACATTGAAAATATAACCGTGACAAGGGTCAAACCAAACATGGAAATACGTCGGAATGCTTCGCGCGTGGGGCGTTATGCATCACGCGTTCTTCTCATAATTTTTATGTTATTGAGTATGATACGGTCTTTCCATGTTCTCGATTAACTATAACCACCCCAGTAGCAAATGAAAGTAGTAGTTTCTCAAATTTTGAATTTTCTGTGGTTAAATGAACATAACATGTTTCTGTAAGCAGATTCATTGATATGCAAGGTGATGTAGATAGGAAAAAATCTCATCAGAGCCATGTTGAACTGCTCGAACACACGAATCTCTACCTTCCCCACTTTTTTTTACTTCTTTTCCTCTAAGTACTAATGTCATTAATTTTCAGCATATGCTGAATTTTAAAAGTTGGACCGTTGTATTATTTATATATCTACTTAATTATTTGATGTACACTCGTATCAGTTAATTAAATGCCTTTGAAGATTATTATGTGCGCTCAATAAGCTTCGGGCAGATAAAATAAAACAGCATGCGTAACTCTAAACGGCTACAGCCAAATTTTCTCTCGCACCTACATCATCAATCACGAAAAAAAGATATAGTGCTGAGCACTAACTGTTTAAATAAAATGGAGCCAGCTAGTATGGCAGTAGCGCTGAACCCTAAAACTTTAGGGTCCAGCCCTACAGACTGTAGGTATCAGCAGGACTGCCATATCAGATGGCTCCATTTGATCTAAACAGTTTGTGCTCAGCACTATATCGTTTTACCCGTGTTTTATTTTTGTGATAAGCTCACGCATAGCATAGCATACCTGCATACTAGGTAGAGTACAGGAAAATCTCCAGTCATTCATTCGTTTTACTACTATAACATCTTTTCGGTCAGCCACAATTGGGCCGCGTTAAGCAGAAAGAAACCACGCCACATCAGCTATTGCCAAATTTAATTGGGCACTTTGATTTTTTACGTAAAAAATGGTTGGGCGGATTTTTGTGCAAAATTCAGTGAATTTTCTCCATAGTACGAAGAAAATTTCTCAAAATTTTCAAATGAATCCGCACAAACGTTCTCTTATTAAGAATTAAATTGACCGGGTCATCTTCGCAGTAGCTGATGTGGCCTGGTTCCTTTCTGCCGAACGCGCTCAAATTATCGAGGCATTACTTACATGAAAGTGCTGTCTCTTCTCAATTATTGAGGACCCTTGTGATTTTAGGGTTAACATATCTACTTACTTAAGGGCTTTTTTTTAATGCGGATCGCAGTGGAACGCGGTGGATCGCGATGAACATCGGTATTTTTTTATTCCGTTCCTCAGCGTGATCCAAGCGTTCCAGGTGGATCAGGGTGGAACGCTGGATCGCTCATCCGAGGTGGGGCGAGCTCGCGATCCACTGTGATCCTAACCTAATGCGAGGAAGTTGCCGTCCCCAAAAAATCAAAACAATAACAAATCGAACCAAATTCCAAGTTTGGATTTTTTTTATCACTTGGAACACTTGGATCGGTCCGGATAGCTCAGGATTCCGATCCAGTGCGTTCCAATGCGGTCCACCCTGATCCGCGATAAAAAAAAAAAAAAAGCCCTTTATCTGGACTGTGGGGAATTTTTCATAATTGGTACTTTTTTTTAGTGAAACTTGGGAGCCATCTCCAAATCCCACGAATAGATGAGAAAAAGTTTCTGTATGCTCATAATGTTGTTTCATCCCAATTGAACGCATAAGTAAAGGGCCTTAACAGCTATAGTACTGCACTGTGAATTTCTTGCACCCAGTCCCGTTACCGCTATTTGGACCGCGTTAAACAGAAAGGAACCAAGCCACATCAGCTATTGCCAAATTTAATTTGGCAATTCAATTTCTTACATGGAAACGGTTGTGCGGATTTTCCTGCAAATTTCAGCGAATTTTCTCCACAGTACGAAGCAAATTCCTTAAAATTTTCAAAGGAATCCATAGAAACGTTCTCTTGTAAAAAATTAAATTGCCCAGTAAAATTTGGCAATAGCTGATGCGGCTTGGTTCCTTTCTGTTAAACGCGGTCCATTTCTTGCGCCAGTAAGTTAGAGCGTGTTCAGAGACACTTCGATTTATACATCAAGTGGCGATTTGGCTGAGGAACAGGAAAAAGTCAATAAGTTTTTGTCCAGAACGCAGTCGTCAGAAAATTCAAAATTTCAATTTACTTGCCATTGTCACAATGCTTACGAAGAACCGTCGTGTGACATTGAACGACTTGGCAACCGGCTGAGAAGTAAATCGCGGGAAGGATTGTGTTTATGACAGGGATAAGCGTGTAACCGCATCGCCGGAATGAATTGTTCGTCATTCATTCGTCTGCGCATTTGCAGCATTGCGTCTTTTCGTCTGCGGAACCCATTTTCGATTCGAACTTTTCGCCCGCAAAAAACACCTAACTTTTGTGTACGTCGATTCGAGCTCACGAGACAAGAATAAAAAACATTGAAATGTCTTTACTGGGTTGTGATTTTTCTCTTTTCGCACTGAGCGAGGAATTGTATGTGCCCGTCCAAGTGCGGGAAATTCGAAATGAAGTTACTGGCTCCACTACTTTGGTTCGGTTTTACCACCCTTTGACGAAGGGGAATTTTAGATTAATTCCGTTAATTTTACTATATTACTTATTTTGTATATCAAGATTTTTATTTTTTATTGTTAGCTCGGCTATCTTTGGTAGTTTAATGGGGTTAAACAACAGGAATATTCAAAAAATAATGGGGTATAGGTCTATAGCTAATATCTGTCGGTTTATTTATAGTATAAGAATTAGATTAAGGTTTTTTTAAATCTGTTTTGCAAGATATACAGCTATGCTTTGTTGACACAACTATTTGAACTCTCCGGAATGCGTGAGGTATCACGCCTCATTTGAAGGCGTTTTCAAATCAGCCATGTTCCGTTATCGGAATAATCGTTTTGCATAGTTCATATTATTTTGTTTCCATTTCTAACCACGTGTTTAATTATAATCCTCCTATAAAAACCACCCATTTGCTAAAGACAATTCCAGCTGAAGCACACTCAAGCGGATTCACCACTGCAAAAATTTCAGAGGAAACCACATCTATGTTTGTTCTTTCACAATTTTTGGTTCATTTCTTATAAATGGAGGACCTTGTCCACACAGAGATAGGTTTACGGAACTTAACTTTTGCGCAAAGTTCCGTGAAATTTTGCTAGTAGTGTTGACAGAGCTTTCGCAAAAAATGTATCCAACACGAGTAGGTAAACGCCTCTTATGCACCCCTCCCCCTCTGGCACGTTCTCTTGATGGTTTTTATTGATATTTCAAAACGAATGAGAAGGGGGCGGCAAAATACAGGTGGCCCACGGGCGGCAAGTAGGTAAATCTGGCCCTGTTTGAAACCGCTTAAAATTTTGAAGGATGAACTTATGAAGATGCTCGTTTAACGTTCGCTAATTCTTTTTCATCAATTTGGATCCATGCGACTTAAAAGAAACCATTCAGTGGTGGCATCATTTCAGATTTGTAAAACAGTGCCCTCGTGCCCTTTTAATTCCGTACGCTCCACTTTAAAGATGAAAAGGAAGAAAAACCGTTGTTTTAAATGGATCGCATATCGCACATTTGGTGCGTTGAGACTTGTTCAATCTAAATTTCATTTAAAAAAATGTTTTTTGGACGTCTAGTCATTCCGCCCTCTCTTTCTGATTGGACAATTTAATCTAATCTTTTTCACAACTCCTTCCCCTGATTACCTGACTTTTGCGTTTCAATCGTAATTTTTTTCTCATTTCAGGGACGAATCTTTTTAAGGATGTCCGAACCGGAGACGCCGACAACGCCCTACATGGCTGTAAGTACTCTTCACATCCTTAAAATACACACGAGCTCACAATCAGTCGAAGCCTGTATGTGTTGGTGTTGGCAGGATTTTTGTCAGATCCCTGGTTTTTCTCACATGGCAACTCCTCGCACGCTCAAACGGAAATGACGCTTGGACACTTAAAATTCGGATGCACTGAAAAAAAAAATATATATATATCTCTGTGTATTTACTAAGAAAAGGGTAAAATTACCAAGAATTCAGGGTTCTATTTGATCCCAGTTTTTTCTTGGTAAAATTACCATTTATGGAATTGGTAATTTTACCGAGAAATCTCGGTAAAATAATTGGACTTTCTCGGTAATTTTACTATAGACCTTGGTAAAAACGCCAATATTTTTTATTGGCTGTGGTAGAATTACCGAGATAAAATGGCAAAGTTACCGGGAATTGATCACCAATAAAAGTGGTATTCTTACCTGGAAAAGACAGTAAAAATACCGGTTTTTAGGTAAGCTTACCACTCTGTCTTAGTAAAATTACAAATAATTGGTAAAAAAAGTGAGATGGTAAAGATACCAACGGACCTTGGTAAAAACGCCGAGAATTTTTTTTCAGTGTGGTTCTGATTTTATGACACGCTAACTTCATCCAAGTATTAACAGCCTCCCCGTTCCCTCTGGTTTTTGCCCTGGCTTAGTATTCTCAGATATTATTAAATTATTTCTATCATGTATCGCATACACTAATAAGAAGTAACCAAAACGAGATTCATACCTCGAAGCCCCAAATACAATACTTTCCCCCGTCAAAATTTCACGTCATTCTACCTGATACATTTTCACATTCAACTCGTCTGTGAAGCAGTTTAAACTTTTCTTTTGCCAATACTATACAGGCTGATTCCAGGCTGAGTTCAAAGTTTTCTGGAGCCGATCATTTTGACCAAATTAGGATTTTTTGTGGTATAAAAATTCTTCTGAAACACCAAATACTTCTTTACCCAGAGTTTAGGAATGAAGATGTATATAATTTTTATTTCTCCTTTATAAAAAAACCTTGGCAAAACGTAATGATGATATTCCTATTTCAAAATTGTTAGAGCTATTTTTTCTGGTCTCAGAAAATAACCACCCTTTTTTTGAGTCAGAGGGACGTTGGGAGGGGTAAATCGGACCTTCATCTGGCTTAAATCAATCTCTGTTCGGTTAGTGATGCCCGCAAAGTCACTCAACATGAGTTCTTTTTTATTCATTTATTTATTTATTTATTTTTTAAATTTTGATGAGCAGTAGCTCTAAAGGAAAAACATTTTGGAGAAAAAATGCTGCACCACCAAAAATCGTAATTTTGAACCAAAAATTGTCCCCTGATAACTTTAAACTTAATCCTGCATCATCATGTCGACCCATTTCATCTTAGTTCCAGAAGTATGGTTCCGGATACAATGGTTTTAAAATGCATTTGCTCGAATTTGTGCACGATAATTTATTGGCTGCTGTCTAAAAATGTTGATACTGAGAGGAGGCTCATCATATGTTGTGGCCCAAGTCAAATTTAGTCTATATCAACACTAATCGAATTTCCGAATTCTTAGAGTAATGAGAAGATGGAGGACCACAAGATACAGAATAGGGCGCAGTGGCGAGGCATTGTTACGGAGGCCAAAGCCCTAGTTGGGCTGCAGAGCTAGAGAAGGAGAAGAGAATCGAATTTGAATTTAATTGTTGAGTGGTGCTGATCTGAGCAATCAGCGATCGACTTTAGTCACAACGTAAGATGAGACTGCTTTACATGCGCTTAAATGACGGAACAAGGATGAAGCCAAAGGGTTGGAAAGCACGCCCCGCTCCCCTGTACTCTCCCAATTCTCGCAAAACAAAGAGATGGAAACTTGGACGCAAAAAGTGCACGTGACTGTGTTTTTTGTCTTGTGTGTGTTCTTTTTTTCTTGTTCAGTGTCTGAGTGAAGTCTTGGTGTTCATCCAGAGCTTTCGTCACCTTTGAAGAAAAGTGCCCCTGTAAAATAGCCTCCGTCCGATCCTTTACGTAGACCGGTTAGTTGAAATTTTATCCAAATTTTTGAACACTGTAACCATTCCATTCTGCCCCTTGACTGAAAAGTAAGGAAATTTTGTAGAAAAATTAGGTGCACAATTGATTTGACTCGTGCGAAAACATCCGATGTCCAATACAGTGTTTCAGAATTTGAGTGGAATTTGAGTGCGATTTCGTTGTACCCTACAGACACAATGATTTAATAAATGGTTAGGCATGTAGAAACATTTTATTAAAAAATAAATCCTCTTGGAATAATTAAACGTTTACTAAAGAGAGATCTATCTTATTCATCAGTGTCGTGGGGCATGAGAAACCTCTGTAATTATGGAACCCTGTATTGGATAACGGTCGTTTTCTCACGAGCCGATTCAATTAATAACACAAGAGGGAATGTCGCATTTTTATAGAGATGCTAATTTTTAGGGTATGAAATTGATTAATTTCTCGAAATTCTACTTACAACCTAGGCCAAAAAGAACTCTGGTGGGATATTAAGTATTTATATCGAGAGGTGAAATCATTTATTTGACTGTAGTGTTAATTAATCGGGGGTGTCCTTTTCATGGTGAAACCAGCAATTTTTCATGGCCTGCGGTGTATGGAAGGAAGTGGAAAAACTCTGAAAATTGTGGAAAATAGCAGGCAGCGGACAGTATTTTCTCATATCTCGGTCATACAAGGGTGAAAATTCCCTTTTTAATAGAAAGTACTGCTCAGTCTACTTTGAACTTGAAAGCAAACGTTTCAAGTTGTTTTTTTTCTGCCGGCGCGGCGCGGTGTAGTAAGCGCAAAAATTCGATACTAGATAGATTTCTCAGCTTTGAAGAGTCGGAGATATAAACATTTTCTTACTTCATCGTATGTGATATGAAAAACACTTAACCCTTAGAGTCTTTCAAATGAAGAACTTTCGGTTTATCCCCTTGAAATCCCACAGCTAAAATCTTGTCTGAGAAACTGATGGTATTGAACATTAACTATAAGTACAGTACGCTCATTTTCACGAGTATCCAAACACTCTTTTGCGCCGAAATAAAAACACGCTAAAAATGATCCACCAAATCCTTCCTGCAGGCGCTATGCTCTCGGTTTCTTTGCAGCAATAGTTAAAATTGTAATGAAACATGTTGAGCAATGAGGTTCGCCGGCTGTGGAGCACGTTTTTCACACTGAAGGGCAGAATTTTCCTCAAAATATTTTTGAGTCCAAAGAAAAAAGAAAGGAAGGGAAAAAAATCAGTCTAACCGTCTTGTTTTTAGGAACCGAAAATTTCCGCTGTTGTGCTTGCGTGTTCTCGGTTGGTGAAAGTGTTTTAAGGGGTAGAGGGAAAGAACAAAGGTGGCTTAAATTCACAGTACCATAATTTTTCTGAGCTGTTTTAATGCATATGAATATCTACGGGAAAAGGGGCTCGCGTGCATGAGTATACTTTTTTCTAAAAATCAACTTTTCAGATGTTGAAGAATTGAAACGCGAGGTTTCAAAGAGAAACACGTTAAAATACGTTATTAGTGATCCATTTCATTTTTTGCCAGTGGAAGCGGTCAATGTCATTTAAAAAAACAATTTTGAATCCCCCACATAATACAGACTCAAATTTCTAAAAACCGTGTCTCCAATATGCTTTTTTGGAAGTGGGTGTATGTCAAACTGCCGTAGGTATGTTCCGATTAGATATTTTTGGGAGATTTTTCTCCCCTATATGTGCGTGAAGCAATCTCGTCAGCAACAATATTGATTACTCTAATTCTATTTTTTTGGCCCCTGGCAAGATCTCTTTCCTCGTGGATGGTTACGTACGATTAGCATTTAAATCCTGCATGAATTTTATAAAATTTAAATCCAATGTGTCTAAGTTGGAAAGAGACATTCTTGGTCATCAGCCGTAACAACACATTATTCCTGTGATTGTCAAATTGTTGTCGTGGGCTCTCTTTATTTGTGCACGTTCTGTCGATGTGAAAAATAATAAAACCGGGAGTGAGAAAAATGTAGCATCACGTGTCCTTTTCCTGTCTGTTCGTCCAAGTAAAGTTCGAGAGGGACGGATTTCGAATGATACAACAAAGTAAATGATCACCGCGAGGGGTGTATTTATCGCCATGAAACGGGTAAAAAGTGCACTTACCGCAGTCCATTTGTTTTTGGCGCCCGTAAATAATGGGCCCTGGGCCGTAAAAAGTTTCGGTGGCCTCAGCTGGGTGGTTTTTTTTACGGACTATTACACTCGCGAGGTATCGACAGTGTCACCTAGCTACCAGCTACCCCCATTATCGGAAGTAACTTTTTTCGGCGAAGAAAAAATGTAGCCCATTCTACATCGCGTATGTATTTTGAATGTTCATAAAATCGTTAAAACATGTCTTGGTAACGCGGTTTTGATAGGGTCGAGGCGTCGCGGCGCAGTCGCATTGAACAGTCATCACTTAGATATTTTTACACAGGCTCTCATTGTAAAGTACACTGAGATTAGTTTAGTGCCCGGTTCGAATCAAGTAACAGGGTTGCCACAGTCAGGGAATACCAGGGAAAACCGGAGAATGACAGGGAATTGTAAAAAGTAAGGGAAAACCTGGAAATGGCAGGGGAAATGACGAAAATGTCAGGGAAAAATTGTTGGGTCACCTTTATTTGCTATCCAGAATAGGTTCGACACATTTTGCCCGAAAACTATTACTACAATAATGTCTTGTCAACCATCTGGCGTACTCTGAGTCGTCAGGGAATTTCTCCAAAATGTGTCAGGGAAATGCCAGGGAATTTCATATTCTAAATCCTGTGGCAACCCTGGAAACTTCGGTTTTACCATGTGCAAGAAGTCTGTCTATAAATAAATGAGAAACTTCATTTTCTCACTCATGCTGATGGAAAAAAGGTCAAGGGAAGGGGCCCGGGTCTACCTCCGTACAATGTTGCGACACAATTCAGGGAATGAATTTCTCTGTCGTTCCCTGAATTATGTCGCAACATTGTATGGAGAGAGATTCGGACCCCTCACGTCAACCTATCTTCCATCAGCAAGAGTCTGATGGATCATCATTTAAGGTTATTCTTAAAAAAATACCGGATTCTCTTAATATTTGTATCATGTTCCGTCTGAACACCGAAGTCTACATTTTCTCAATTTTGTCTGTACTCATAACCCTCTTTGGCGAGACGGCAATCGTGTAAATACTTGATCCGTTCCGGTCGAATTTTGTGATAGGCTCATCAGGTTATTATTATTCGAAGGCGAAAACGTCACGGAATCAAGATCCTTCTTGGCACCTCTCAAGGAGGAGCCAGCGAGCATGCAGGCATATCTCGCAAGATTTAATTACTTCAAAACGGGAGCTGATTCCCGCCACTTTAGAGCTGAAATTTATGATGTTTCGAGCCCCTGAGAACATGCTTGTTAATTAAAGTCGCACGTTAATGACTCCAACTGCCTCTGGGTGCATCCTCCAGCCCGACCAACCCCCTCCCCTCCTTCTCACACTTATCATTATCACCGCTTTGTTTTGGTCCTCTCGTTAACCCTATCTCTCGCTTTCTCGCTTACTCTCAGGGTTGCCATTTTTAGGTTAACCTCCTGTAATCCTTATCAAATGACCTTGTGATAAGTAGCATTGTTAAATTAATGAATTAGCGAGCATAGTTATTTGATAACGATTCCACCATCGATATTTTTAAGATCTTCCGAAGCTTATGAAGATGCCGCCCGATGCTGTCAGGCTGAGGAGAGACGCCGTATGAACATTCGAATGTTGCCAAATTTCCTCCCAGAAAATATTTATTTAGGAGAAAAGTTCTTTTTATTCTCTCATGAAATTTTGTGACTTTTTTGGTCAAATTGAGGACACAATTCTCTGAAAAATTGGAACAAATGTATAGACAAAATTTCTCGAAAATTCGTGATTTGTCAAAGGAAATTCGGCAACGTCTAAAGGCTCATACGGCGTTCTTCCTTAGCACGGCAGTAGGGACCTAGGACATTATTACCGTTTTGCCACTCGAAATACTGCAATAATCGAGCGGATTTTTTATTTAACCGCTTATTTTGATTTTAATGGATCTGTTCCTAACTTCAGCGAAAGCATTCGGAGATTTCGCCAACAGAAAGGGGCTAAAAAATTTTCCCCTTTGCTCAAAATCTGCGCCTTAAAACTCATGTTAAGCTTCCTGCCTCGGTTGAGGTTTGCATCAAAGCCATTTTGAGAATATGGTGCATTTGGTTCTGTTTGAAATCAACTCTCAAGCTCCGAAAAAGCTCTTTAAGTAATAGGAAAACATCCTTTGTCTTGGTAAATTTCTCTCGTCGGAGTTAGAACGGAATAAATTAGCGGAGTTGTCATGCTTTGGGGCCAGTAATCGCCATCTACTTATTGTTAGATGCTAAAAATCCCTACACAAAGTGACATCTCTGCCGTTGTATTCACCTCTGTTTCTGCATGAAAATTCTGACCTAGCGTGGACTCTCCTGAGTAGAGGTGGTATACTCTTCCATTTCGATCTCACCCTTAAATAGATTTTTATACTCTTCCATTTCGATCTCACCCTTAAATAGATTTTTTTGAGCTTGGAAGCTGATTTTAGACAAATTGAATGTTCTAAGAATCCAACATTTACTTTGCTACGCGTATGTTTGGTGTCTTCAGTGGATATTATTATAGTGGTATGTATTCATGTAATTTCAACAACAATTTTTTTTTATCGGTCAATTCATTGTTTTGTTCGCCGTAGAAGTTAATGAAACATTTTAGAGTTCACACCAAATTTTGTTTCCTTGGTACCCACGAGATTTGCCTTCTGTTGATAAGGTAGGCAAAACCGAGTCCTCAGGAGCCGCATTAGTTGCATTCGCATGTAAATGGTGAAAGTCGCATAACACGTATCGCGATAAACGTAAAATTCCCGCTGGTATCACACATTTTTGAAGAAAAACTGGCAAAAGCTATGATTCGAAATTTTCAATTGCAGAATATTTTAGGTACTCACTCAGGGGGGGAAAAAATATCGGTAAAAATTCCACAAAAATAGCTTTTTTCTAGTTCCGATTGAAAAAAATGTATAGTGACAAGTCATATCGTAAATCGATGTAGGTACTTGCTTTTCTGCTTTCACCATCGATATGTTGCAAATATCACGAAACGCGGAAGTTGGACTGATGACTAGTCTATCACATGTAGTTCATATAATCGGAGATCTGTCAGCTAAGAGGGTATATTCCAGTTCTTTCCGTAAGCTCTAATTGTATGTACAATTTAGTTAGTAAATATTGTCTTGAAGTGAAATAATGTAGACAGATTGCGTGGCGTGGTAGTCGCTGATAGTATTCTGGGAAGTAATGGTGTTTGCCTTCAACCGAAGAGACAGGCAGGTTCTTTGAAGTTGCAATAATTGTATTATGTTGTTTTTTTCTTTCTTTCTACAAAGAAATAGAAGCTATATGCTATAGCTGATTTCTCATTGAGAGGTAAGAACAGCTCCCTTCCTTGGCGCGGAGAGAGCGTTTTACGCATCGTTCAAGAATCATTATCACCGCGAGTGAAATTAAACAGCGCTTAAAAAGAGGACGGAAAGGGATGGACTTAGAAATGGGTTCCATTATTTCGCAATTATTCCTCCCCTATCTGGGCGCTAAGAAAATTTGAGTGTAATTAAACTAACTCGGCTACGAGCGCTGCGTTTTCCCTTAATGATCGAGAAAATTCCTCCAAGGCTCAACGTGAATTCTTCTCGAAAGCAAGATACATACTTTTTTGCTTTTTAAAATCACAAATTTTAGTTAACCTAAACTGTCTTAAGAAGAACACATCGCTCTGAACTAAAAATTTAAACGCTACGATTTGCATCTTCATAATTTCCTATTTTGCAGAAAATTTACCTGCAAGTATATTTTATCAAAAATGTGCGGAAATCGTGGAATATATATTCATTTTTATCAATGAAGATCGAAGAAAATAATTTTTCGTTGTTGAATACAAACACTGCTTTTTTAAATAATAATTAAAATAATAAGAATAACAAAGAAAAACACGCCGCATTGTGGCTTGTCAACCGTCATCCAAAAAAGGTTTACCAACGGTCTAAAAAACCATTGTAAAAATGTAATAATGTAATGGGTCAGTTACGCTGGTCATAGAATCGTGTTTTGATGCTCAATTCCTCTGAATCAGCTTAAAATAATAAGATCTGCCCAAACAAAAACTCTCTACGTTCAATATAAATCGAGATATAGCGCTTTGAAAACTTCGTTCAATGACGTCGTCCACCACGGTAGTGACAATCATTGTTTCCTCTACCTTGCTTTCATTTGTCAGGAAGACACACATTTTCTTGGTTCCTCAACGCTTAACTTGGATGAAGGCAAGGTGGAAGAAACTAAGGGTCTCACTACCGCGGTAAAAGACGTCATTGTACGAATTTTTCAAATTGGGATATTCCGGGTAATATTAAATGTAGAGAGCTGCTGTTTGGACAGATCTTATCATTTTTAGCTGATCCACAAGAATCAAGCATTAAAACATGATTCTGTAACCAGCACAACTGACTCATTGAATAGAGAGGTACGAAAAGGGAATACAAACATGATCTCAGTTGGAGAAAAATTAGTTCGTACCTGAACGCAAGTCTCGTCATCATGTAGGTATTAACTGTCGTATTAACGTGTTTTTGAGCCTGTTTTCGTCACCAAAAAATACGTATATTCACACATTGTGAACTCAATTTTTTACTCACCCTCGTCAATTAAACTTCGAAAATACCAACATCTGTGCGTGGTTTGAATGCTCGTCGTTTAACCTTGTCAAAATTGGAAGCAAAAAATGGCGATGACTCAAATTATAACGTTGCAAAATTTATACCCTCGCTACCATCGGTATGGATGTAGTTTTTCCGAATCTACTCATCTTACAGAAAGATAACGCGTTTTATTGTCCGATTGAAAAATTAATGTACGTAACTTCTTGAATATTTTCGTAATTCGCAAATCGGTTTAGAGAATTTTTTGATTTTCTGGTCATGAGATAGGCTAGTTTTCTTTTAGAAAAGTAAATTAGTATAAATTCTGGAACAACGGAATCACAAAGATTCGCGGGTTCCGAGTTCAGATATCACACAATACTGCTGAACATATACTTGATCTGCTTTAAAAATGACTACAGTATTTTATTAAAATGTCGTAGCCAGTAGTAAAAACACAGCGGAACATCAGCTTAGAGACTGATTAGATAAGTTTTCAATCGGGTATCGTGCAATTCTGTTCACGATGCCCAATTGACTGGGTACTTTTGCAATTAGAATGTTGCCTGTAGCGAAAAATGACGCTGTAGGAAACATTCTAGTCGAAAACTTGTTCCCTTCTCTCATTCTTTAAAAGTTTTTACTTTCAATTTCCGTTTCTCATTCGGATCAGTTTTTTAAGCCGCTCGCGAAAGGGCGCACTTTTGATTTGACTCATCTTCCGCCGCGCCGCACAGTGGATTGAGTCAATGGGAGAGGTCGGACATTATTTAAAAACTTCATAAACGTACATCTTTATCGGCATGAAATGATGATGTTCTAAAGGTAATTTCATCGGTTTTCTCTTAAAATTTTCAATAAAAACCACCCCATAAAATAGAATTGTGACGAGATAAACGTAAAATTTTACAATTTATGTTAAAAATTTCGTGTCCGACTCCTTCCAAGACTAGTTCCACTGTGCGCCGCGCGCCGTAATGACAGTCGTAGATCTACGTCATACGCTTCTTTCAACATCGTTCTAATTTCTGCCCATCGAAGCTAAGATCCGCTCTCTTTTTCTTTTTTTCCAGAATAACACGAGCGCGGATCAGTCAGCCGCGCAGGATATCTGGTTGGATTGGGACACGGAGGAAAACGAGAGCGATGCCGAGAAGTCCAACTCGGACGCGCGCGCGCCGCCGCCGCCGCCAACCCACCTCGTGAGAATCAAAGAAGAACCGGTGAGCCCCAGCCAGAGTCCCGAGCCGCCCTATGAAAGCGAGGAGATGACCCAAGCACCAATGGTGGAAGTCAACGTCAAGATGGAGAACCCCAGCCCGCCTCCGTCCCCACAGCAACACCAATCGGCCGAAGAGGACGCCGACGAAGCACCTAACGACGGCAACGAGGCAGAAGACGGTAACGAACCTGATGGCGGCAACGGTGAAGATGCCGGCGAACCACAGGACGAAGACGAACCGGACGATGTACCTGATGACAGGCCTGAACCAGTCGACATCAACTCGCCCGAAGACTTGCTCATCAACGGCGAGGACGGTCGGGGCGAAGACGATGACCTCTTCGAGTACAACTGCCACTTCTGCTTCGCCGCCTTCCGCAACAAGACGCAGCTCAAGGAGCACTACAAGGTCGGACACAGCACCAACTCGGCGCTCAGGTGCAACACGTGCGTCATGACCTTCAGGCAAAAAAGGGACTACACGCGGCACATGCGGATGCACATCACCGGCAAGAACCTCCGCTGCGACCGGTGCCTCGTCAAGTTCGAGTCCGAGCGGCAGCTCATCGACCACGTCCTCGACAAGCACTTCGACGACTGCAAGTTCATCTGCGAGTACTGCGACGCACCCTTCACGTACAAGGAAGACCTCCTCATGCACAAATTCGAAGAGCACACCGGGTTCCAAGACGGCTACCGCTGCGAGCACTGCAACGTCGGCTTCAAGAGGAAAAGGATGCTCGAGCTTCACGTCCAGTCCGTCCACCTGGAGCTGTTTAAGTGTCAGATATGCAGGATCACGATAACCGATAGGATCGAGTATAGGAAGCACACGCGAGCGCACACCCGGACCGACGCGCGGAAGGCTTTCTGCGACGCCTGCGGCTCCAGGTTCAAGTACAACCGAACGCTCAAGATGCACCGGCTGGTCTGCCTGGGCCGTCGACTCAACTTGATGCGTTTTGCCGAAGAGGCGCCTGGAAGCCCGCCGGGGCCGGACAAAAACTTGTCGAACACGAAGGACGACGACCCGAAGATCGTGGGGTCAAGTATAGCCAAGGTAATTTTCGACGGGGACAAGCTCGTGACTCTACATCAAGGTCACGTCCATCATAAAGGTGTCTCGGACGTGTTGATCGGGGGCGTCAACGTGACGGTCGGAGAGCGGTCCGAAGTTGTGGAAGTCACTGCCGAAGAGTATCCGGGACGGAAAGTGAACATCGAAATCTACAAAGCCGCCAAACCCGCGGAACCGCCCAAAGAAGCAACTCCACCCCCTCAGAACACCGGAGGATACACAGATAGGGTTTATAGGAGCTACGCGCGGGATTACCGGATCAAAGATAGCAACGAAGGACAAAGCATTGACCCCTCTGTTTTTTGTAGCTCTCAGTTGGGCGAAACAATCGAACCACTGGGTGGCGGTGAGTTGACTATCACCGTCGAAAACGTAGAGGTGCCCAGTTCCAGCGACGCTCCCAACGAAGATCCACTCACGAACGGAGCTTCACCGAACCCCTCCGAAAACGCAGAATGTGATACAACCCATGATAGGACGCCGTCGGCTCTCTCGCACAATTCCAACGCGGAAAGCGACACCCCCGCCCCGAGCGAGGCTTCCTCCAGCAACGACAACAACCAATCCTTGTCGTCCACCACCTCCGAGGCCCCCGTCGAAAACAAGAAGATCCTTTTAACCACCGACATGGTCAAAGAAGAGACGTTCAGGAAGCGGAGGAGGAAGCCGCCCCCGGAACCCGAGGAGCCTGTCGAGAAGATGTCCTTAGCGGAGATCCTGGAGGCCGTCGAGTCGTGCAGCCCGGCCGTGCGAATACCGCGCAAGCCCGGCATCAAAACGGAAGACGGCTTCGTCGACAACATCTACAAGGCCCACGAACTGCCGGAAAAAACCCTCCTGGCCCTGAAGGCGCACGGTCTGCCGCGGGTCATCAAGAAGCCTCGCCTGCTGAGCGAAACTATTCATCAAGCCATGTCCCTCCGCGGGCACGGCTCCGAAACCGGTTTCACGTGCAAGACCTGCGACGCCGAGTTCGTCTTCAAGTACGACCTGATACGTCACGAGCGCACCGCCCACGCCGCCGTCCTCAAGTGCACGCAGTGCTCCTTCACGTTCACCAAAAAGGAGGAACTCGCCCAGCACACCCTGGAGACCCACTTCCGGCGGACCGGGCCGCGGATCGGCTCGGGGCTCGGTCTCTTCGAAAGCCTCCTGGCCAAGAAGAAAGCGGTGATGCCTGTGCCGCCTGGCAGCGTGCTTCCCACAGCCCCGCCGCCCGACTCGATGCCCGAACAGAACTTCTCGTGCGAGAACTGTGATGCGAATTTCGCCTACGAGGCCGAGCTCAACCACCACATGCGGATCCACGGGACCGAATTCAAGTGCAACGCCTGCAAGGCCTCTTTCAGGGAGAAAAGCGCACTGGCTAAACACATGCTCTCCGTCCATTTCTGAGGTCCGTCGTGGGTGGATCTTGGGTCTTCGCAAGGATTCCACCTCGAGAAACAATTCGTTCCTCGTAACCACTGTTCTTATTGATCTCCGAGTTCCCATAATTTCATGGTATTTTTGTCGCTCGGAAAAGTCTGGTAGTGAGCACCAGACTGCGTGGCTTTATGATGCTCCTGAGGAAATTTAGCAGCCGGTAATACTCTTGGTAGTTGAAGCATACGTTTGTTAGATCTTGGACGTATTCGGACTGATCTCAGGAAGTCATCACTGATTACCAGATTTTTCGGAAAGCATACTTAGCATGACAGTGTAGCTCCCACTACCAGACTTTTTTTCCGCTCGTGGGAAATGGCTTTTCTATCGTGTTAGACGTTAATTTTGCCGATCGTAGTGAAGATACCGTAAAATGTGATGTAAGAGGGTGTTCCAAGAAAATCTTGCCCGTAACTCAGTGAAATGGGGAACAGTGTTCTGTCTTCCTCCTACAATTTTAGGAGCCACCTTGACATGATGGTCGAAATTCTAGAAGCCGTCCACAAGTTTTTAGAAGCCAAATTAACTCTTTGCAAGCGCATCATGGCGCACTGCGAACAGTGCGTTGAACGGTTTCGCGATTGCGAGTCTGATAAATCGATAGATTACGTCAACTTTCTCAGGCGCTACAATGATACACACACCCCCCCCCCCCNAATCCCGAATTTTAGGCTTATTTGGCACATGAAGCTCCAGGAAGGCAGAACACTGATTCTTAAGGCAATGAATGATCTCTCCGCGAAAATGCTAAGTCAAATGGTTATTCAAAAAAACCGGCATTTTATTCCACCTATAAAGTATATCAATGAATGTTAAATACTTTCCATATTGAAAGGCAAAATGATTTTCATTTACTTTAGTGCAAACTCAGGGCTGCACACATTATGGTTGAAAATCAGCATGTCAGTATCGCATAGCTCCCCTATGCTGAAAGGTGACCCAAAATGCATTGATAGCGAGGCAGTATAAAATTGATCCCTTGAAAATCCCATACATTTCAATACAAATTTATCGTTGTCATAGGATCTTTTACATTCAAAATAGTTTTTGAAAAAAAAGGGGAAAAAATAGTTTCAATTGATTTTCAAGCAGAGTTCTTGTTTTGTCTGAGAGTCTACACAATTTGTTTTGGTATAATGAATGTTACGTTGCACATGTTATTAGTCCATACTGTTCGATGTTGCTCGATTGTACTTTATAGAGCGTTACCTTTGGGATGCCCTTTTAGTTTGCGTAAAAATTTGCAAGAAAGTATGAACCGCGGATTCTAGGAATTTATTGTTTCTTAATCTCTTGTCTTTCTTGACCTCAAGCCTTTAATTCTTTCCGTATAGTTGAAATGAATAAGGAAATCATAATAATTGCATTCGTTCTAGATTGTGCCTTCGCGTACCAGTGGTTTTTGGTTATTTCTTGTTACAGTTACTCTGTCAAGTTTGTTTATTTTTAATTTTGACGTAAAAGCTTGTTTCATTTCAGTTTAATAGAGTTTCGCCAAGATGCTCAGGAGAAATTGTACAAGGCACCAAAGTGCCTTCCCGTCCAAATTCCCTTTAACTTCGTAATATATTTTAAGTTTCCCTGCTGACTCAATCGGTAGATATCTACCCACATTTCTGCGAGTAACACATCTCCAAGTGTCTTTATATTACATATATCAGGCGGTCACTCTATTTTAACATTATAAATTCTATGTTTTTTCATCAAGATAATAGATTTTCATTTATTCTTCGTATCATTCTCCTAATACTATAAGTTTTGTTTTGTTTTCAATGTTTCATTGAGTTTTTCCGAAACCAATAAAATAACCAATTTAATTTCATAGATCTTAAGTTTGACTCATCATGCGCTATCGAACCTTCGTGTTCCAATGCGTATATTTCCTTGAAGTTGCTACGCCGAAGTTGCTACACAAAAGTCACTACTTACTCTCTATTTTGCTCCCACCCCACCCATTTTATTTTACCATCTGCTGGTAGCGCTACCGAAGTTTCAAATTATTCATAATTCCCAAGTGCGTTATATTTCTATATCGTTAAATTACCTAATGTCGAAGTTGATTTTATCCAATTTGAAAAGTTCCTTTTTCGAAGAAATTGTGAAATTATAATGATTACATCGTGACTTTATCCTGTTAAGTAATCACTCATCAAAGATGAATTCGAAGATACTCAATGTATTGAGGTTTTGAAGGGATTAATAAACGAAATAAAGAAAAAATCAGAATGCAAATTCTTTGAATCAAGTTTATTTTTTGTTTCTCAGATATATCATCATATTTTTTTAAGTGGAGTTATTTTATGGACTGTAGAGTATTGATTTTTGAGTTAAATATGCCAAGTTTTTATGAACATGAGACTTGATACTATCATGCCTATTTTTAATACGTATGTAAATTTATTTTTCAAGAGATATTACGATCGAGTTGTTTAGTTAAGTAGTTGTTAAGTTATTTTTGTAATTTTGACTTTACCTATCTTTCAAATCTCTCTATTAAACGTAAAATTCCAACAATTTTGACTTCTTTTCTCCTCCAAATGTTGATTCGCACCTTCAACTATTTTGAAGAAGAGGATTACTTCGACGATTTAATATCAGCTTTTGAATATATGTATACGTTTTTAAATGAAACCATTTATTTCCTACCTTTGCACATAATTATACTCAATCCAATTTTCTACTTGAAAAGGCAGATTTCGAATTTCACGTAAACTATTTTGTTTAACAGAGTGAGGACTGTTAAAAAAATGCAAGTGAAGAATGTTCATGACCATTGCTCAAATTTGATTCTGTTTTCCGAACGAAAAATCTCCAAATGTTGTTCTGGCGAAAACCGCTTCTCATTCTTCTACGTATCATCCTTTGATAGACGATGTGAATTAGTCCAACATATATAATCCAGACATTTACTCCAGGCGTCAACATCAAAGGGTACGTGGTCGGAACCCATAGTATTCAGAAAAGAAAATAGGAGGGAGGTATTTTTCCATGCTCCCTCTCAAAAAATGGCCTTAACCTCTTCATCCGTGATAAATGTTAATTGTGGACGGCTTCTATCCGGTTTAAATCTAAAATCTAACTCGACTAAATCGGTTAAGTCTGCCTGTTTGAGGTGCGGCTGGATTTTTAGGGACCGGAAAAATACAGAAAATCTAATTTTGCAGGGAGAAACATGCAAAATGTAGACTTTGGGGCTAACCTCGAGTCCACAGGGACCTCGAGGACCATACCGCCGTACTAAGGAAGAACGCCGTATGAGCCTTCAGACGTTGCCAAGTTTCCCTCCAAAAAGGCCGAAATTACTGGGAAAATTTTGAATATTATTTTCTCAAATTTTCAGACTATTTTGTGCGCAATTTAATCTAAAACCAATATCTGAAAATTTCAAAGAAAAATGTGCATGTATTTTGTCAAAATTACAGGTTTTACTAAGGGAAATTTGGCAACTCCCGAATGTTCATACGGCGTTCTTCCTTAGCACGGCAGCATAGTCCACAATACCTGTAACTCAAAATGCAGTCATTAATACTAGAGTAGAGAAGACGGTTAACCAAAAATTTCACGTCTAATGGACCACTAGATAAGGTACGAATTTCAGCATTCTGATACTTGTTTCTTAACCAAAATTTTACGTAAAACACGATTCACACAACGAAAATTACCGAAATTAACTCCTTACGAAGATATTTAATGATTCTTAATGCGTGACTTCAGACCACCCGCTCATGAAAACTCAATGCTCTACGTGATTCACATCGCGCGCTACTTAAACGTTATCATGACAGTCTCTGCGATATAAAAATCTGGCAACCTCAATCTTGACGCTTTGGCTCAGTTGTAGCAAATTGCTAATAGTTTGAACAACGCATGATGGGAAATGAACATTGCTCGATTGAGAAGATTGCTGAAACCGTTGTAGTGGGCGATTTGACTCACGTAGAGTTTTGAGTTTCTTGTGAGCGGGCAGTTCAAATTCCTCGTAACCAATGTGAAATAAAAACTTTAATATCTTCGTTAGGAGTTGGTTTCCGTAATTTTCGTTGTGTGAATCGTTTTCTACGTGAAATTCTGGTTAAGAAACATGTATCAGATCGCGTAAATTCGTACCTTGTCTAGTGGTCCATTACACTTTTACAAGGTACAAGTTAGGTTACAAAATATCTCCATCAAATTCCGTCAAAAGCTCCAAAACGCCGCGGCAGCGTGACGTAGAAAGCGATTAAGACGCTCAACGGGTGCAATCGCTCATAACTGACGTCACATTCCCGACAACAATAAGCAGCGAAAAGCGCCCTTCCTCCCGCATTTTGTCATTCTTATTTGATTCCGACTTATTTTCACAGATTACGAGCCGTCTAGGGGATTAATCTCCGTGTCAGCAGGAGAGGCATTTCGTGAGCAATTTTTCTCATTTCGAGGGACGCTTTAATATTGAAATGGAAACGTCGACGAGGAGTCAAAAAACGAATTCCCGTTTTTACCGCGAAAACTTTGTCTGCTCGCAGCCATTGGGCCTGAAATGAAATTTAACGATGTGTACACTGAACAGAAAAACACATTGGATCTAGAGTCCAGACTCGTGAAAACATTGCCAAGAAAAAATACTCTTGATTCAATCATATTTAAACTTAAATCAAAAGGAAATCCGCTCAAATTAAGAGGTTTGGTTCTTGATTTAAGCTTAAATCTGATTGAATCAAGAGTATTTTTTCTTGTCGATGTTTTTAAGAGTCTGGACTTCTAGATCCAATGTGTTTTTTTCCGGTGTATCGAGGTTTTGTACTAAACCGCCACTTTCAGTTCAACGAACATCGTCAGGAATAATTAGTGCTTTTTGTGAACTTCAAGTTTCACCGAATCGTTCAGTTTGAAAGCGACCCAATTTGAAAATTTAAAAAAATTCATATAATTGATTTTTAGGGTCGGGTGCAACTTATTTTCCCCTAAAAAAATTACCTTCCTTTTTAGGTAATTCTTTTTTGTGCAGTTATTCAGAAACGATTCATCTTTGACGTTTTTAATCACTTATGTTTCCAAGACAATGAGTGCAAAATCTTTCGCACAATTGGTGAGTTGCGCTAGTCTCAGAATCGTGTTTTGATGCTTGATTCTTCCAGATCAGAAGAAAACACCAAGCTCTGTCAAATTAGCAACTTTCTACGTTCAATATCAACCGACATATCGCGTTTTGAAAAATTCGTCTAATGACGTCATCCACCGCGTTGATGACACCCTTGGGTTCATCCGCCTTGGTTTCATTATAGTCAGGGAGACACATTTCCTCTGGTTACTCAATGTGAAACTTGGATTAAAGCAAGGAGGAAGAAACCAAGGGTGTCAGTACAGCGGCGGATGACGTCATGAACCGAACTTTCAAAGCGCGATTATCAAGTTTCTGTTTAGACATATATCATTTTTTTACAGCTAATCTACAAGAATCAAGCATCGAAATACGATTCTATAACCAGCGCAACTGATCCATTGCCCACCAAATATTCCCGCCCAGTTTGCTCTTTCCACGA